TTATACGTATATATTCACGCTTCGCAATCGAATTCCAAAAATCAAAGGAATCGTTTTCGTCCTCGATGAATCTCCGCGAGATCGTACGTTAGGTGTTTGCGAAGCTATAAAAGAGTCATCGCGACATGTGTACTAGCAGAGTTTAGATTCAATTGGTGTCGACGAAAGATCGAGATTCTATTCAGTGCAGAATCGAAACTTCAAGCTCTCGAAGCCCTTCGTGCAATAATATCAAGCGAATCGGTCCTTTATGGCACGAAAATCTCGTTATCTTACGATATTTTGAAAATTCTTTTTCAAAAAAATTCGTCGAATCAAAACTCAGCCGCTAAATCGCAGAGTGTGTTGAGATTTGTCAACATTCTTCATATATCAGACTTGGTGGCGAATGTGTTAAGATCTGTATGGTCTTTATTACAAATTTCCGTATTGTTCTAAAATACTCGAAAGTTAATTCGCGCGAATTTGGCATTTACAGAAATAGGGTGTTACGGAAGTACCCTGGATTCTGTGAATTCGCGTCACAGTACAATAAATATATACTCAACAGTGTGTACTTTCCCCATGATGGACAATCGTACATTCAATAAAGGTACGAGACACATGTAGATTATAAAATTGACAATTGTTGCGCAATGACGTCAAGATATTGCGAATGTACAATACAGAAAATTGTTCTTTCTCTTTTTTTTCTATACACACGCAAATCTTTATGCCGCACGATCACGGAATTTGCAAAAAAACTTCCTAACCGTTAAATTTTGCAAAGAGACGTGAGATTTATACACAAGAGACTCTCACAATCGAATCATTCACTTTGAAAATGATGTAGAAAATAAATTTGAATAAAATAAAAATAAATTTAAATAAAAATAAATTTTGTTTAAATTATATTGTTTAAGTTATATTTCAATTATATGATAGATTTTTTTGTTCGTATAATAAAATTTTTAATGGACATTTACACCATTTTCAAATGGTGCGATTTTGCTTATCACGCATACAAAATCACATTCAATCTTGTGTCACAAAGAGATGCATTCATCATTCATCTAATAACTTCGCTATTATTCCAGTTAGCAACATCCATATATCTTTTCCCTTCGCAGTAACGCGCAAATTCGCTCTTAAGATTTTGCTCGCGGTAACACTGATGTGTGTCTTTTTAATGTTTTTATTCTAACTTTGAATCACGATTATCTAAGCAAGAAAGTAGACTTGCAATCGATTTCACCAAGCTTCTACAAGTTCGTTTGTTTTGAATATTATATGCGCAATGTTACATTAGATTTAATGAAAAATGGAAATAATCTCAGTAATCTGCAAAAATATTTTCTTTACTTCAATGAAAAAATAAATATGTTTAAAAATTCATTAAAGATTAATTGTCATCCTAATAGAAGATTGATGAAACCAATTACTAATATGAGAATATCTCTTAGAAACTTGATGAAGAATCTCGATGTTTAAAACCCAACATAAATGTCGAAACTCTTTTCTTGTAACTTGGCTTGTAATCAAAAGATTGAGGATTTCGAGTATCCTCCTATCTTTTTAATTTCAAGTCAAAGTGATCCACTTTTATTATTGGTTTCAACATCATGCGGTGTTAGATTGTTTAACCTATCTTAACACTGCGAGAAAATCTCTAAGATAAAACATTGCGTTGACTAAAATCAGAATCTGCACACCGGAAATAGAGAAAACGTAAGACGATTATCACAATTATCGCGATTCCGCCTTCGTTTTCGGTGGCCTGAAGGCTTTTAATTTCTTTGCCTTCTTCTGTTTTGTGGCACTGGTGCCCGACTGGAATGCCTTCCAGCTATCGACGCGTGATTGTCTGGACTCTTCGAAGTTTCGTTGCCATTCGCGCTCCATCGCTGCTTGAGCTTCCGCGGATAATTCTTCTTCGCGTTTTCTTTTACGCTGTTCTGCATCTCTTGTCGCCAATTCCCGTCTATAGAAAAAAAAAAACAATTATTATTCATAAATGTATTTTTGTATCTAAATACTCAAAGACATTTATTGCATTTATTGAGCATTTATGATCATCAATTGATTTTCCTGATATTTAATATATATATATATATATATATATATATATATATATATATATATATATATATATATATACTGTATATATACTATGTGTGTGTGTGTGTGTGTGTGTGTGTGTGTATTAGAATACGGATTGCAAACTAACCTTCTTCGTTCCATATCGGCGAATAATTTCATTGTCATGACCCAGACTGCATGCCTGTAACCTTCCTCAGTTTCTTCTTCTAAAAGTGTCGAACCTGAGTTTTCAGATTTTCCCTCTTTCTTTTGTTTCTTTTTCTTTTCTGCAATCTTTAAATTTTACTATATTATATAAAAATTGAAATTGACAAATTATATTTTGCAATGCAACATTTTATTGTACAAATAAAATTTTCGCAAATAGATACTTGCCATGTGATCAGTTCGAGCCTTTGCCTCCTCAATAACATCCATACATTTTGATCTAGTTTCCTCATTTTCCAAAGTTTTCCACGCCTTATTAACAACTACAATTAATAAAATATTTTTATATAAATTTATCACTTATTTATTATAGCACAATATATTTTTTTCTAACCTGTTTATTAAACTTACTTTCAAAAGCCTGCTGTGCTCTTTCAGCGTCATCCTGATTTTTATCTGGATGAACTAAAATTGACATCTATGACAAAGCTCAGAATTAAATAATGATACTTTTTTATTTTTGCTTATTAGAAAAGAAAAAATAAGTACTTACACGACGGTATTTCTTTTTGATTTCCTCTATTGCTGTACTTGGATCAATTTGTAAGACTTCAAATGGGTTCAAATTAAAGTATGATGATCCAGGTCGCAGTAATCTATCAATTTGTTGCTTGGGTGTCAGCACAGAATCTCTCTTCTCAATTTCCTTAACCTAGAAGAACATAATAAAATTATAATTATCTATAGTAAATAAAATACATTTGTTAATATGACTTTAAAGTAACATTCTGCCAAACTTTCTTAAATTATTAGAAAATTCTTCTTAACATAAACTATACATATTAAATCAACAAATACAAATTTCAGTGTACAAAAGCAGAAGAAAAATATAGTTACAATCAAAATAAGTGGTTGTTATAAGGAAACTTATAATGGAAGCTATTAAACAAAGCTGTCATCGAAATATTATGTTTATCTTTATGTTTATCTCTGGCAGCAAGACAACATAAAGAATGGAAATTAAATAATTACGACCTCATCAGAGAAAGTCTTATTAAGGAAGACACAACATACATTTAAACATAATGAGTGTCCCAATAATAATTATATAAATATAAATTATATAAAAAGTGTGATTATATAGCAATAGAAAAAGCTTGAAGAAACTATGATAACCAACTCGACACAAACACGTCTGCGTAGGTTAGGCAAATCCAATGGCGTTTTTACAATGACACTATCGCATGTATGATTCGGCAAGACTGCGTATGTCAATATAAGATAGCTAAAGCACAGACAGCTTTCACGAGACGTTCACTGTCATTTTACTTCGAGCATAAAGTGATACTTGTCGATGTTGCTACTACGGGTTTGTTTATGTCGCCGTTTCAGAGCGAACGATTGAGCGTCGTTCTGTCGGCGATGCCATACGCAAAGAAATATTGAGATTGAGGAAAACTCACGTACCTCCGAATAAAATTCGTTAAATTCATCCTCCTTCTTGGCGGGATTTTCACTTGATAAACTGGAGTCGGTGGAGGCCATCTTACTTGTTACAAGCTCGGGATTCGACGGTGCTGCGGACTGATGAAAGAACGCAACCTTACCGACACAACACAATGCGTAGCTCTCACGATAGTATAATGGCTTGTTAGTTAGAAGAAGAAAAAATAAAATTGAAAAAACTTGCTTAATTAAATTATAATCTTGAATTCTTTTATCTAAGTTTTTAGTTACAACATTTAGAAATACAAAAAACAATGAATTTTAGGAGATATAAGTAGTATAAGGATTAATAAAAACTAAAATAAATTCTAAATCACTATGAAATCCATTATGAAATTAATCTTAAAAAGAAGAAAAAATAAAATTGACAAAATTAGCCTAATTAAATTATAATTTTGAATTATTTTAGCTAACTTTTTAGTTAAAATATTTAGAAATGAGAAACGATAAATTTTAGGAGATATAATTAGAAGTAATAACAATAAAAATATATTCTTAATTACTATCAAAATTAAAATTTTTTACATAAATGTTGAACTTTTGTGGATAAAAATGTAATATTTTATTTTTAAATAGCTGTTTTTAAAGTAAAATATAGCAAGTTGCAATATTAACAAATTAAATTGATGAAAGTTGATTAAAGAAAAAAAATAACTACCTGTTAGCTAAATTTTTCTTTTTTCAAGGCAATGGTGGAGTAAGTGTGGTCAAAGATGTTGACGTTCAATGTAAAATTTCATAATATTTTATTAACAAAGCTTAACAGCCAATAAACAAGTAATGCCTCTTTCGCGATGACAAAGACACATCGAACGAAATCAGAGCGTTATTATTATTACATGGCACATACCTCCGTCAAATGATCCGTTAACTAGGATCTAATATAGTCGATATAACTAGCCTAAGTAAGATACAATATCGCTACTCACTATACCCCTCCATTGAGAAACTCACAGATGCGATAAATAGGAGGGTGGATCGGTGAAATCGCTATAGCGTAACACTCTATGGACATCTAGCGGTTGTTACGTCTCGCTATCTAATCTAGCATAGCTTCTAAGTCTAATTGTTTACTATTGAACATCTGTTCAGACATAAGCTGCCGTTACTGTCGTTCAATCGCGAGGACAGCATCGCCAATAAACAGAGCTTTCAACATCCTTGAAAGAATATAGCTTCCAATATTGATTTTGCCTCCAAGATTCGAGACAGAGAGAAGCAAATATATCTTAATAATTTGTCATAAAGAAAGTAAAAAGATTTACATATAAATAATTAATATAATAAAGAATTTGCTGTGAAGAAGAAGGATGAAAATAAAATGTTTAAATATTCTCAAATTTCTTAGATCCTCTTATTTCATTCCTCTTATTTCATTCCTCTTGTATATCTGAAGATCACAAATATGTATTCTGCTGCAGAAATGAATAAACAAATTATCCTCGCGATTCCGTTATAACGAAACATACAATGTATTCACAAGTGTCAGTTCTCTTGCACATGACTATATGCTACCAATTAATATCAACAATCGAAGTAAGAAAAGCGGGTGTGTGTAACAACAATTACTCTATAATTTATTAAAGATCCAGTCAACTTGAAAATGTGCGCGTATAATAAATCACAGAATAGCATCTCGTCTTTAATTAAACGGCTTTAATTAACTTTTTGGAATAATTTTAATTTAACATACTAGTTATTTTTTAAGAATCATAAATAATTGCATACAATCTGTGTATAAATAGTATAAAAATTATTTGTACAGTTAACAAATATTTAATATTACTCATAATTGTTAGTAAAATTGCGCTAAATTTTATTTATAATTAATTATAATAATAGAAGTTATAAAAATTATTATTGTATAATTTTTATATCAATATAATTTTTCACGAAAGATAAATGTACTCATATATAAAAAACTTCTTCTCACTTTTCAATTCTCAGTCATCTATTTGTGAAGATGGAGTATCTTTGCTTTACTCGCTTTAATCAAGTCAAGATTCGCGAACTTCGAACAACTCTCGCGTTATTTCACCGATGTGCATCGTTGAATTTGCACGCTTATGCTGACGATATTTATTACAGCGCGCATTTTACAAAGTACGCAAAAGCTAGTTGAACTAACAATACTTCTATATACTGGATACTATATCGAGTCTCTAAGTAAGTAAACGGGGTCGCTTCACTTTGCTGACTGAAATGAATGACGAGTGCATTTACGTAGAGTGACTGTTAAATCTGTAATTTTTATGCAGAATGTCCCGCCGATGACAAATTTCTCAAATGATTGAGATGAAAGCTTCCATTTCACTGTTCTGAATTAAAAATAATTTAAATTTGATATTTAGTAATAAATTTTCTTTATAATATAGTGCTGATTATTATTCTTCTCGCGAGATCTTTACGTTCCCTCGATCGGGAACGTTCTGCATTGGGTTCTGTATTTCATCACGAAGAACTAAGCAATGCTGCTCTCAGAGTTTGTTTTCGTCCATGAAAAGTTTGCCAAAATATATTTTTTCGTAAAAATGTTACGTCTATGTATACCTATATATATATATGACTTATCGATATGCAGCCGAAGCGCTTAGCATTAATAGAAAGCAGATAATATACATAGATACACACACACACACACACACACACACACACACACACACACACACACACACACACACACACACACACGTACGTACGTACGTACGTACGTACGTACGTATGTATGTATGTATGTATGTATGTAGTATGTATGTATGTATGTATGTATGTATGTATGTATGTATGTATGTATGTATGTATGTATATATGTATTCCATGTGTAGAAGAGAGCAGATTTTAAAACGTTAGATCTTTTTTCATGTAAACATGCATTTCGCACAAGTGCGAGCATGATTACACAGACAATGATAATGCGATGATTATAGACAAATAGATTGGTCGAGAATATAATTTGTGAATTTGCACACACACACTTAATTAGCGACGACGAGATCGAGAGAAAGTCGAGTTTCCTCACAATGGAAATACAATGGATTCCTCACAATTAACGTTATTGTACACTTATGTATATTTAGTCGTCATTTAATGGTCATTCAATCTCTCACTCTGGTCACTTTATTCCTTAATATGTCAAACTGACATATTAATAAACATAAACATAAATTTTATTTTATTAACCTTAAAATTAATTAACCTATAATATACTCTCAGTTGTGAAATTTAAATTTAAATTTTACATCAAAGGATGATAATTATAATTTGTTAATTATCATGAAAATATATATTTACATTGTAAAATAAAGCTGTTAAATGGGCCAATCGCATAAAAATTAATATATTTTTCAGGAAAACTTTGAAAAATTTTTATAAAACTCATGCAAACAATTAGAGAAATCAATTAAGAGAGATCAAAGAACCGTTAAAATATATCTTATTATCTAGCACAAAGTATTACATACGTCTACCATATACACTCTCTTTAAAACACATTCGGTAGATCTCTCATATCTGACATTTGTATACGTTCATTATTTATATATTTTTATCTTTTCAGATGATAAATGGCCATTTTCGCTGAAATGATCTTTACATTTTATTACATATTTCTATTAAATATTTTCTACACAAATCTATATACTGATTATTATATTATAAAAAATAATAATAGTAAAAATAATTGTAAAAAATTATGATATAATTTCAATGAAGATGTTTAACGTGACCGAAAGTTTTTATAGTAAGTATATAAATTATATATTTATCAACGAAACTAATCGATAATTATCAATAAATAAATACAATAAACTTTTCAACATTGTCAATGAATTGAAAAGTAAAGTTGGATAACGATCGGTTCAGCGAACGAGAGCACTGCTCTCGAAGTTGCAGCCAGTACACTATAAAAATGTGACAGAAAACATACACTTACGCACGTATGCGTATGTACACGTATACCCACAAGCACACATTCACGTATAAACTTTCAAAATCTATTTGGCACTCTCCTAGTTTCATCGAAAAGGCGAGCACACTTGCTATTATTTTTCAATTCAGAGACATTGCATATCGAGTAGTAGCTTTACTCCGTCGCTATATATACGGTTTTTAGCGGTATATCTTATATAGGTTCATCTTATACGTTATATGGTAATTGGTCTAAGAAAGTTTTCGGTTGCATAAAAAATATCAGCTGCGCCGCCCGAAGCGAGTCAATCGCCCGGTGATAATCACGAGTCACAATATAATCCCCGTTACAGTCATATTTTAGCTCCTTTTGCACTGCATGATTTTCATACATATAATAATAATAATAATCATTTATATTTCTTGTTTAAATAATGCTATTTTTATAATTTATAACAAATATTTTTATGATGAAAATTAGTCGTCAACTCAAAAATGAAGTCAGTTCACTACATTATTGTTTCATTTATTTCTAATTCTTTACTTTTACCAAATTTTGATTTGATTATGATTAATTTTAACAAATCGTACGGAAGATCGTGCAGTAAAAATGAGCTTTAAGAAGTATAACCACCAGCCCAATTATTGATATAGATAAAGGGACAATTGAAGATCATAAAAAAATCGAAAGAATCTACGCATTAATTATTTTGTTTCAGAGATTAAGTCATAAATAAAATATAAAATTACTTACAATCTCATTTTTTATAAATTTTTACATATATTATATTATTTGATATCAAATAAAATCTGATTTAGAAAAACCCATACAATTGAAATACATTTCATTTATTTTATAATAAACAAAATACTATAAATAGAAAAGACTAAATAACATAAGTATAATAAAACTAAATTATAATGTAATTGTAATAGAAAGAGTCATAACAGATACTGCAAAAATTTTTATATTTTTATTTGCCATAAAATTATTTCTTAATATGAATATAGATAATTTATTAGCACTTAAACTTTTGTGGAAAGAGAAATTTCAGACTCTTCAATTGATATTCATTTACATTGTCATCTATGGACTGATCCATAGATTTTTAGATTAATTATTTTGGTCACAATACATCATTCGCAGAGTGGATATACAAGACTACAAATATCTTTACACAAGTTGCATCGTACAACGAATAAATAGATATAAATGTGTCATACGACATGTGAATATTTAGAGACTTCAAAGTGCCGGAAAATATATTCCGATTATACGGAATGTGAAAGCTTTCTCCTTAAAGTGATGCTAACTTTGAAAATTTTTTTAAGAAGTTCTAAAAAATTGTTCGATCAAAAATATTTCTACTTGTGTGATAAGTTTTTGTTTTTGTTAAAGAAAGATATTTCTTTATATCGGAAAAAAATACCCTGCAAATCTTTTTATTATATAAACTTTCCAAAAAAAATTAATCTTTTAGAATATAAATTTGATGTTCCACGATATCAGAAAATAATAACAAGATTTATACTGAATTCTACACTTTGGTTTCAAGAATCCATTAACTTATAATGACATGAAAATCTACTGGATATCTTTAGTGCCAACGCATTTTAATATTCTTTTTATATACATATAATATATAGTAGTTATATATGTACGTCAAAAGCTCTAGTCTAAACAGTCTCAACGCGGAGAAAAAAATTTGTAAACGTGCTGGATGCAGACATACTACCGCTGGCGGTTTTTTTATTAAGTTAGTTACGTGAATTTTGATAAATTTCTTTGATCTTTTTCATCATCGTTGATAAATGCTAACAGATATTAAAGTTTAAACTTGTTTGAAATGTTCAAAGTATAATAAGCAACGATGTAACAATATACTGTATAATATTTTGTATAATATCATTGATTCTTGTTGCTCAATAATTTAATTCAATAATTTAGTTATTGTTTTTGTATCAGTAGTGTGATAATAAAAAGTTATTTTTATCCTCATCACATCTGAAATCTCCGATTAATGAATCTAAAATATTAAATATTCACTTCTGCGATCGTATTTTTTTTTTTTTAAAGTCAGATACTTTCTAAAAATATTTTCCTTTAATGAAAATTTGCACATTTGATTAAAAAGAGATGAAAAGCATTGAGTTTTGATTTTGAAACATTTTGCTCATTCCTCGCCTGTATCCAGCTTTGTAAATGATATCCGAAGATACTATTAAGATTTGATTAGACATTTTGATAAATTACACTTTTTTGATTATACAATGCTAGAACGGTTTAAAAGGGAGATATAGTGTTGAAGGAAGAAGGGGCACTAACCATCGGCAAACATTGGAAAGGGCCCGCAGTCCAAGAAGCGGTGCCTCGATCCATCGTCCCAATGTCTGCCGCGTATTACATTTGTTATTTTGATTCGGGCCGTCAGCCATTTTTCTTTTTATACGTACTTTAATATAGTATATATTGTTATGCGCTTATAGACCTTAACGATTCGAGAAACAACAAAATCCTAAAGGATCCTCTTATTACACTTGCACTTATGCGACGAATTAACTGCCGTTAATTCAGTTAATTCACGTCATGCAACTGCATTACGTATGAGTTGCATTTTGCATTATGCGCGACCGTGCAACATGTGGGTTCTGTCATTTTTACGTAAATACTTACATGAGGTAAGCACTTAGCACTTGGAGAACATGTCATATTTTATATGTCGGACAACTGGCCCGATGACGTTCTCTGTGTTTATCAATATCGAACAGCACGATATGCATATTCATATGCATGTATACACGGATGCAAATACTCTGAGCGAAAGTCCATCGGAAAAGATTTATGAAAATTTCGACTTTTAATACAATGTACCGGCTATCGACAACTTTTACCATCATGCACAAATTAACACTGGCGAGCAACTTTAATAATTTCACGATTAATTTCACGATTAATTTCACGCTCTAACGATTTGATTCTGGCTCGAGTCTGTTTCAGTTTTATGAAAATCTTTAATTTTGAAGATGTTTTTAAATTTTTCGCGAGATAATGGAAATGGAATAAAATTGTTCTAACTAGGTGCTTCTCGTATAATTTCTCGAGGACTTTTCCGTCGGAGAGTGTATGATATATATGTATGACATTAATGATATGTTTATTATGCCAAATTAATATTTAAGTAACGTTTTTATATCCCGAACATCCTTTATAATATGAATAAGAAATGTTATTCATGACGCTATTATCATCAAGCATACGAAATGTTATTGTATATTTAGCAAAATGCAGCTATCAAATGTATTTTATGTAGATTCTAATGATATAATGATACATTAATTAATTATCAACTAATTCTTTTTTTGCTGAATGTGATCTATATGGCGCTCGAAAATCATGTTCGATATATAAATACTATACAGAACTGCATTCAGTGTTAAATGTACAATGTGAATATTCTATCCTAATGTACGTGTGAATATATGATGCCCTGGAAAGTCTCGCGCTGCATTAAAAATAAGAACGTATGCACGTGACATTCTTGCTTCACTTTTCGCACAAAAAAAGTACCGGTTGATTCATTCGCTATAAATGCCATTTTAGCTTATCTCGCGATTCGTAATAGGCGTCGCGTGTATTTTAAACGGGAGATCATTAATATTTATAGTATGCACATATAGAGAGAATTGCCAATTAATATTCAACACCACGTGTATATTTCTTGTTATGTAAAAAAAGATCGAAAAAAATAATAATTTTTAATTAAAATCGGCTCGAAAAAAATATTTAAATCGCTCTATTTAAGCCAAAATGTAAGAGCTTGAAAAGATGCATGCATTACATTGTTTTATGCATGAATCTGCAAACCACATCCAAGTCGCTAAATTAAGTTAAACTCGTTCTGTTGCGCGCGTATATGTGTATGCGTGTGTTAGCTTTACTTTAAATCTGGATCTACTTTAAAAATCATACATTTTAGACTTATGATTTACTTTACTTCATTTCAGGACATAAATTCACATTTTACAAAATGCACCTTAGATATACGTAGATTTATATTTGAAATATTTCATTATTTCATATACCAAATGTGTGACTCGAATATTCCAAAAAAATTTCCACATTCAAAGTTGGCCTTGTAAACCTTACCTTTGAAGAATTAAATCATTAATCAATGTTTCTTATTCATAAACATGTACTATTTCTCAGCATTTTTCGAACGAATCTTTCCTAATCTTTATCATATTCACAGATAAAAAGCGAGGGTTCAAATACTCCAAATTTTACATGTTAAATATATGACTCATGTACCACACAATATATTCAAATATTCCAATAAAATCTCCATATTCAAAGTTAACCATTATAAATCTTAGTTCCAAGTGTTTAAATCATTAATTATGTTTCTCGTTATAAATACATCTTCTCGCAGAGCGTTGCTCGAGAGTTTCGAGTTGCCTAATCTTTGTCCTCTTCGTAGGTAAAGCGAATATTCGGTCGCGCGAGACTATATCCTTTATTACGAAAATCCTACACGGCAGGAAGCAGGTAATAATGTGCTCCAAACTGACGCCACTCTCACAATTTCACGCTAATTCCACGCACACGAACTACATTTATGTACAAACTCACGCTCACGGTCTTATACGAATTTACTCGACACCCCATGAATCTTGCAAATTGTTCCTAATTGATTACAATATATCACATGCACACGAAACTCACTAGTAATAATAACGCAACTAGTCTCGTTTATATGTGACGTGCGAGCGACTATTCCGACGTAAAATTGGAAATTTTTAAATTAGAAATTTTAAAACAATCTCTTTGCTTCTACGCTGGGATCTCGCGAATCCTGCTACTTGGACTTGTTTCGAAAGCACTCTCGCTTCGTCTATAAAGCAGTGAATAAAATTCTCAAAATTATTAGGTTTGATATAAATCTCTAAAATTATCTATTATTAGTTTTATAAGGTTTTTAGTCAACTTTGTATTGTACAAAGCCTCAATAAAAATTCAGCACGATATTAATATTTTAATTCTCCAATATTTATCTGAAATTTAATTATATTAAGATTGTGTATCTATGGGAAACTCATCTTTTTTATTCTCTGTAAAACAATACTTTAATTTTTATGAAGCTTATTTTCTATCGACTTGCTTCTTATTCGCGATGATTAAGCAGCAAGTAGCAGCATTCTTATGAATATACCTCATAACCTACCTTGACTTCACGATTATTCCATCTTCATAATGTTGCTATTATAACACGTCTGACGTATTCGTTGTTATTTCACAACATTCGATGACGTACTTTAGCGCGATATTCAATCCCTCATCGTGTTTCCCACCTTTTGCCAAACTTTGCAAAACACGCGCCAAGGGGAATGGATCTAACTTACCTGCGAGAAATTGTATACGATACAAGTTTAACGTAACTTGTTCCGGATTTGCCTTGAGATTCGAACGAATGAAGATGGCGGTTGTTGGTGAGCGGCTAGTCAAGGTATGGGTAAGGAAATGGGAATTCGCGAAGATGTAGAAAACCAAAGATCGTAGGAATTGCTTTGTCCAAAAAAAAAAAAAAAAAAATCAGTCGAAGCTGAAGCGTTCTGTGATTCACCCCCTTCACCGACGACCACGTGGCGACCCCGAGGAATTTACAGGGTCATACGTGGCGAACGGTGGAGGGGGTCGGGCCGCTATGCTTGGTCCAGCTCGTGACAGACTTCCATGTAGTCCGGGTTGTGCATTATGTCCTTTATCATGTCCTTCAGTATCGTGTAACGCGGAAACATCGGATACAACTTCGAACCGTTGTACTCCTCCTGCGATAGAAAGTGGCACCCTTCAATCATCTCGATGATTAATAAATGGCAAATTATATTTGTATGCTATTTTTTTATCCTGAGAAAAATTTTCCAATTCTATTTTCCAAATTTTACAATTATCTTACAATTTTGACTGTATTTTTCAAGATTTAATAAACAAATATTTTCTAAAAAAAAGTTCTTAATCTATAATAAAATATATATCTTAATCCATAATAAAATATATAATATAGATAGAAGTCGGGAAATATAGAGCAATAACTTTTTGAAAATGGTTCCAAATATATCTGAACGTTTTTTCGATTTAAGAAAATATCATCCGCGACAATTTTTATATGCTCGCATAAGAATCAAAAGGCAGGTAAAAAGGTTTTTCTTGATATTACGATACCTTCGGTCACCTTTAATCTCCGATTTATTTGACACTCCATGGAAAGAGAACATAAAACGAGTAGATGATAACCGCGGTACTATCGATCCGAAAATGTTATAACAGCAGCAGTACGCAACTTATTGGAACATAAAAAGAAAAGTAATGATCGTAACAATGTTCTTCAATGTGACAGCCAGTATTACATTTTGCTGCTGTTGAACAATGTCGTTTTTTATAATCGCAATCGCAGAATTATATTTGATATAATAGATAACCAATGTAAAGAAATCTAGAAAACATTATATATTATTAAAAAAAACATTAATTTCTTAATAAATTTTAATTAAAAAAAAATATAATATCGTTATAAATAAAAGAATACTGTTAATAAAAGTGTAAAGTTAAATTTTCCAATATTAATTTAATGTTGATATTTCAGAAAAGTTCGTTTTCATACCAAAGTACAATTTCACATTGTTTGTAAAATATAAAATAAATAAAATTATGAGTTAAAATTAAAATATACGCATTCAGATATAAACTCTGATATTATATTTCATGTAGCAAAATGTAGTTTTCCTCCTCTTCCTCAAACATATTATTTTAGATGACTCTATTAAAAAAAATTCCGTAAGTTAAGCAGTTACAAAACACGTACTTTCAACACTTTGATGAGGTTCCTGAGACCCGTGTACTTTTTCAACAATCTGTACAGATCATTGGTCATCTGGGTGTTCTCTGCCTCGATTTGCGCCGTCGTCATATCTATGCAAAGCACATCATATCCATTATCTCACTTTGTTTGGTTTTGTTTATTATGCATTCATTCTTAATGTAAATTCTAAAACACAATGTTTATTCCGAATGATTAATTTTTTCGCGAAATTGGTTTTGTGTCGGTCCACGCGATGGAAAAATCCTATGTATATAACAATATGCGATATAACAAATTTGTGAAGAAATTTTTTGCTATTAATGAGCGAGCACAAAAACAAACCAATGTCGGATGTTGCATCAACCGTAGTTTGCTTGGCATTCCAGCGAGGAGCATTAATTAACGCTCAGGGAAATATTGCTCTTGCTAGCAAAATGAAAACCAAGCGGAAACGTTGGCCGTTAATATGTACATTTACATACAGCCCAGAATCAAATTGAAGTACTGGTGCAGCAATTTGATATCAGGCAGATATTTTCAAACAACCTTTATTTTGTAAAACATTTTTAACAAATTTTCTTCTATTTCATTGCCTGTTGACTACATATTCTTGTCGCCACTACATGGAATGTTTTGATAAAACTTTTCGTTCTTTTAACGATACATTGTATATCTAAAAATATAGTTTGCTTCGATTTTCCTCTATCAAAATATATAAAACAAAATAAAAAATAAAATCAATAGAATGGAAAGATACAAAACAAAATAAAATAAAATAAAAACAGAAAAATATATATATATA